TTATGAATTTAGTGTAAACGTTAGCCCGTCTGCAGTGGCCGGGGCTAACGTTAGCCAGTAAAGCACATTCAGATGAAAATTACTCTTAATTAAAAACACTTATTTATTGAAAAGTACGTAATGATTTCATATTTAAAGAACTTTCAAAAGTTTGTATTTTGAATATGAGCGGACTTTTCCTTTAAAGATCATGGTAAGACCGGTAACAACATAACATACTATAATTAAACATTAATGTCTATAAAATAATGAACAAAACATTCAAAGAAGCGGTTGTCGTGCAAGAAAAATTCTGAGCCTGTCGATTTGGATGCAGGCGGTGTGTCAGTGTGAGTGTGTATTTTTACACCTTCACTTTTCTTCTGTAGAGGAAGTATCTTCCTGCCGCTCAGGCCTGAAATCAGAGGTTAAGTGCAGACTGTGCTGTGTTCACACTCACCTATATTTACCCTCTGACCAGCTCTTCCTCAGAAGTGCGTAACATTTAGAGAAACAATCATCTCGCCACCGTCTTCTCCTCTCTTCAGTGTGTAATCGGGCATGCGGCTGCCACCCGTCCTAACATCCCGCGGAACTAAGCGTGCAGGCAGAGCGGCTGGTGATTGCACATGAGCACAAATTGAAACTGATATACCTTTATCCAAAGTAAATTGAATGAATATGGGCCCACAGCTGTAGATGCATTTATCCACCTACTCTAAATCGCCCTGAATGTGATCTCGCATTTCTCACTTATACTTAAGTAAAAGTCCTGTTTCTAGCTCAGCGGTGCTTCTCTGCTCTCATCTGTTTCTGTTTTTGGAGATGAATAAAAATAATAGAGTGAAGTTCTGTAGAGCAATAAATGGCTCCCAGTAAAGGGAAACGATCATCTTTATCATCCGTATCCTCTGTGTCTTTTTAATACCCTCATCTCAGCTTTCTGTCATTTAATCTGCTGTCGGAGACCTTAATAGATTCCCTGACCGCATCCTGAATTGATAACATCTGTCAGGGTGGGACTGAGGAATAGTTGGATGTCTTAAGATAAAGAACTTTGAAAGAGTTAGTCTAGAGGAGGGAGCAGGTGAAGCGCGAAAATAATGTCTTTAATGCATGAGATTCAATATGTGACCCTGGGTTTTTGTAAATGTGTGGATAGAATCTATTCTTCCTCCGCTCCCATGAGCATCCAGGTGTGGGTATCAGCCGCTACCTCAGGGGAAAGATGGAGGAGGTAGCCGTCAATTCACTTAGCTGCTCGAGGGGGAAATTATTCTGCCGACAAACAAAAAGAAACGGCAGAAAAAACGTGAATGATTCGGAATATGTGGTAAAATCCGGTACCACTGTGGCTGAGATTCAAAGATGAATGTCTTGGATTTAGAAAACGTTTGCCAAGGTTTCTGGGCTTCAGCTGTGGGAAGCGAATATTGACGACACTGTGTCTGTGCTCAGAGTTAATACAATAAGTGAAAAGAAATGAACAGTTTTTAACAGCAGAATGAGGTTATCAATACCCCTCATTGTTTCAAACGGGTCTTTCCTGTTTAATTCAATTATATTCAGTTTATTTATATAAAAAATGATGATCTGAAATAATTCAATCAGATCATCCAGTCAGATTGGGTCAAACTTTTCCATCCTGGGAAAAACAAGTTGAAATGCAGACTTTGCAGGATTCCCGCCTCCTGCGGGAACATGCAACTACTCTAGACGTTGGCTTGCATTTTGTCATTGACTCTAAAGCAATCTCTCACACTGAGCATACATGCAGTGACAGTGGAGAGGAAAAGCTCCATTTAAACAAGAAGAAACCTCAACCAGAATGAGGTTCAGTGTGAGCGGCCATCTGCAAAAGGAACATAGAAGCACTGATCTATGAATACCTTCTATGTTAGAAAAGGTAACTAGCTCCACAGGTGTCTCTGTCTGGAAAAAAAAACAGGTTAAATAGATTTGCTATAAGCTGGTCATTCCAAAAGGAATGAGAGAGCAATAAGAAAAACTAAAAAAGGTCCAACTCCATCATTTCTAATCGAATGGCAGCAGAACAGCTGATATTTCTCTCCAGGATGGAGTCACAGCCAAACAGCAACAGACCAGATGAACTTTTAACATTAGAAGCATTAGATATTGAACTAACAGATTCTGCAGAGTGGGAGAATAGAGATAGAATGAAGCAGAATGATGAAAAAGGGGTCCCTATGTCCTCCAGCAGTCTAAGCCTATAGCAGCAGAACTATAGAGATAGCTCAGGATAACCTGAGCCACTCTAACTAGAAGCTTTATCAAAAAAGTTTTAAGCCTAGCCTTAAAAGTAGACAGGGTGTCTGCCTCACGGACTAAAACTGGTAGTTGGTTCCACAGGAGAGGAGCCTGAGAACTACAAGATCTGCCTCCCATTCTACTTTTAGAAATTCTAGGAACCACTAGTAAACCTGCAGATTGAGAGCGAAGTGCTCTGTTAGGAACATAAGGAACAATCAGATCTCTGATATCAGATGGAGCTTGGCCATTTAAAGGAATAGTACACCCAAAACATGATTAGCCTTCATTTTCTACTCACCCCCATGCTGAACAACACTCTGGAGTACTTTTTTGATATCTCAAATGCATCTGGAGATCTGGGAGGCTTCTTGCTGTCTGCTGACATTCAAATAATGGAGGTCTATGGCGCCCGAGGCAGAAAGGTCCATAAAAGTCCACAAAAAACGTGTCAATATTCCTCCATACTGCTCGTCCAATGTATTCAAAGTGTCCTGAGTGGGTAGCATCCAAAATTTACTCGAAACGAAGTCATTTAGAATGTTTTTAGAGCATAAACAGTAGTGTATAGGATTTCCTGAAAGCGCGTTCACGAGTCTACGGAAACCGCGGCAGACCAAACCAGACGAAAGTGAGCATTCAGCGTCTGCTCTGCCGATAATGCAAGCGTAGAAGAAGAAATGTGCTGTTTACCTGTGCAAAGAAATAAACAACGAAAGAAAAATGTCTGAGGACTTCAGTGTTGAGGAAGAGCATGAGTTCTTTGCCGAGCTAAATGCGCACTTTCGTCTGGTTTGGTCTGCCGCGGTTTCCGTAGACTCGTGAACGCGCTTTTTTAGAAAATCCTATACACTACTGTTTATGCTCTAAAAACATTTTAAATGACTTCGTTTCGAGTAAATTATGGACGCTATCCACTCAGTACACTTGGAATACATTGGACGAGCAGTATGGAGGAATATTGACACGTTTTTTGTGGACTTTTATGGACCTTCCTGCCTCGGGCGCCATAGACCTCCATTATTTGAATGTCAGCAGACAGCAAGAAGCCTCCCAGATCTCCAGATGCATTTGAGATATCAAAAAAGTACTCCAGGGTGTTGTTCAGCATGGGGGTTATGATAAAAATAGATAAAAAAATGAAGGCTAATCATGTTTTGGGTGTACTATTCCTTTAAGGCTTTATATGTGAGAAGGAGGACGCTGTGTCTGCCGGGCCCCTGGCAGCACAGAGCGGGACAGAAAGAGACCGAACAAACTGGTGAGAAAGGCCGTTTCTGTCCTAGGCTGCACTCTGGACTTCTTTTCTTCCTTTAGCACCTTCTTCTTCTTCAACTATTTGAACTCATGGAACGAGTAATTTTTTCCACTGTGAGATCAATAAAGTCAATTAAGCTACTGGCATTTAATGTATCAGTCCAGTTGTGGATTTGTTGGATGTGCTGGGAACAGAAATCTGATCCAAGCTTTCAGAACTTTTGTTCTGAAAGCTTTTCAAGTTTTGCTGCTCTTGTCTCGTCGCCTTAGTTTCTGTCTCCCTCGCTAGCTAAAAGGAAAAAAAACACACTAATAGGCAGTTTGTCCCGATTTTAGGTTTAATCTGTAAATATCTGCGGCAAAGAGTTTCACACTATACGCCAATGAGCTCGTTAAACAGTTTTAGGTTTTTTTGCGTGATTTGGAGAGATTAAGAACAGAATTAATTGGCTGTGATGTTTGGATTCAGTTTTTGCTCGTCACTATTGCCTCCTTTTTACGTGCTCTCATTTACTATGCTGACCCAATTTCATTAACTGGATCGCTCCCTCATTAACCACTTTCTACTTTTCTGATTTCTGCATAACTGCTAGATCAAAAACTATGAAGGATTACATTAGATGGATACAGTATTAAATGCTGAGCTCTAATGTGTCCTCGAGGAGCAAAGAAACTATTTCGATAAGACAAAAGTCCACAAAGGGGAGTTTTTTTTACGATACAGGAAGTTGGTTTTTGACGTAAAACGCCTTCCCCTGTCAGTCATTGCTTCATTTGTTCTGATAAATGAGCCGTTCTGCATTAAATCAAACCGACAGCAGAGAAGGGGAATGTTTTATTTTTATTTTTAGTGCTCCAGTGGATTACTGCCAAAGAACAGCCTAGAAAGATGGAGGGGATAAATGAAAGGAATGCAAAGGTGACGTTTGATAGCCAGAGCTACAGTAACCTTTTAGCTAATGAATGGTTTGGACTCTCCTCTTGCTGATATTGGCCTTTAAGGAGTTCAGAGGACAAACCTTAAATGTATTGACTTTTTCCTTACCTTTATTTAGCCTGAATTGAGAGGCTGAGTATCACTTCATCACCAGATAAGGGAGTAAAACCTCCATTTGATCTTTAAGCCTTAAAGTCTTAAAGTACTTGATAGTTTTGCTCCTTTCGTTTTTGGGTGCTTTTACCCTGTGATCTTTTTATCATCTTCTTCAATCTCTGCTTCTCAAAGGCATGAGTTGCAAACTAAAATACAGCCAGGTTAGTTTCTGCTAGCATCTTGTTGTAGGTTTGGAATGGTTATTTTATTGGAATGGTTAGCACCAACTTGCACAGCAGTACTGTAGCTCTCATGTCCGCCTGAGCAAATAAAAGAAACGAAAAAATCGAACAAGCTGCAGTAAATGGATAAACAGACGAATGGTTGGATTTTACCTGCAATCAGTTCTTTGTTGTTTTTTTTTACTTGTATATTAAGGATTTGTATTTTTTTGTTCTTGTAGGAGGGGAAGTCACCAAGCCACGGTTCACGCAGTACTTTCGAGGAAGCCTCTCTGGACTGACCATTCGACCGGGGAAGATTGAGAGTCAGAAAGTCATTTCCTGTCTGCAGGCCTGCAAAGAAGGATTAGACATTAACTCCCTGGAGAGCTTGGATAAAAGCATAAAGGTACAAACACTCAGAGGAAAACAAGTAATTCAGAGGTAATCATGATAAAATGTAATTAAGATGGATTAAAGTGACCAAAAACGTTTGTCTATATGTTTTACAGCACGGATTAATATTTCATAACTTTATGGAAGAAAAACTCATTCAAATCTGCCTTTTTTTTTGTACACTGAATTTTAAACACTGAATTTTTTTTAAGTCGTAGGGAAATCATATTTAAATGTCAAATCATTCTGGCTTAAACATGTATATAAATGTATTCTTTATCAGACCATATTGTCCTAAAATGTAGAAAATTTCAATTTTTTTTAGAAAATCCTGTCTCAAAATTTGTGTTATCTTCTGCAGGCCAGTTAGTTCTACGTCAGCCTGAACACCTACATTCGGCCAATCATTTATCAACGGCCATCTTTCAATCCAATTTTTTCAGTCATAGCATCTTGATATACGCAGCTAATTTACGCAATGGTTGAAATCAGAATCCTTTCCTTTCCCATTGAGTTGCGTCCCAGTGTTCACGGGGATGGACGTCTGTGTCTTCGGCAGGCGTAGAGCTAACAGAACTGGCAGCGTTGCGAGGCAAGGGCTCAAACATGTACGGCTGGAAGCCTTCTACACCAAACCAAGCTTCTGCCGCCCTGGCGTCCTCTTCCACAACATCTTCGTCCCCGCTTTCCTCCTCTAAATAAAAAATGGATGACGGAGGAGACTCATCCACGACCTCCGACACTAAACTCTCCTCCTCTTGCATGTTTCCGCTGTCCATAGCGTTCCTTGACAGCGTCGTTTCTAAGGCACCAATTTAGTGCTACTTGGTCCCAATGGAATTTCCCATTGGGAACCTGCTAGCACTAAGTTGCTAACTGGTTAGCAAGATGCTTCACACAAACCGGCAACAACCAAACTTGGTTGTGAACCTTCCGCCACAACAATCCTGCCTCCTTGATAAACGACCAATCACATTCACTTTATTCACTCGTGTAAAGTCGGGCACGGTTGGAACGGCCGCTTCCCTACGACTTTACCAGCCGAATTTTAAACACTGAATTTTTATTTTGTGAAAATTCAGCTGCAAAAAATGTACCTGTAAATGACCTTTTGGTGAACTCTAACCAAAGAATTCTACACTCAATGCAGTTGAGCAGCTTCCAGCCAATGAAATTTGCTAATTTGGTGAGAAAAAAATAAGTTCCGGATCAAACCAAAAGCCTTGGCAGACGGGGGTGCCGAACTCGCTGTGATCAGCCCACTTTTTTCACCCTGTCCCATTAGATGACACACTCTGAAGGCTGTCTATTAGTAGCTACCTGATGTTTTGTAATCATCTCTATTTAACAAGAAAAACTCCTCATTCAGCTTCATCTAGCCAGGAACAAAGCTACGCCCAACTGTTGTGTCACATGACCTAATGAGCTAATTTCATTGGCTAGAAGCTGCTTGACTGCATCGACAGTAGCTTTCTTTGGCTTGAGTTCACCAAAAGGTCAACACATTTGCAGGCAAATGTTTTGCAGTGTAAAGAATTCAATGTGTAAAAAAATTCTGTGCTTAAAAAAAAGGCAGATTCCAATTAGATTTTTCTTCCATAAAGCTTTGAATGCGCTCATTTAACATTAAATCGGAACACAACAGCACAATCTTCTTCTTAACTACACATTTTTCTGATTAATCTTCTTTTCTGATGCCTTTATCTACCAAACCTTAGCAGCCACCAAATGTTTGGATGGGAACAGGAATGATGGGATGTTAAGTGTGACATTCCCCTTCATAACGCAAACCAGATGAACCCGTCTGAACTCTAGAAACATCGATTTTCGTTCCCTGAATCCTCTCAAGGTTAATATTTCTCACCGCTTTGAAAAGGCACCTTTTCTCCTCCGATTCATTCTCGTTAACTAAAGGATGATCTAAGAAACTCTTGTCATCTCTGTGGGAATAATCCTTTATTGCTGAGGTGGCAAACAAAAAAGAATTGAGATAAAAAATAAGATTGATCTGAGTTACAAGTGAGATATGTTCAGAAATATTAAATCTTAGATGATTCATAGAAAGGCTAAAGAAGCTTAATGGTTCCTAACAGAGTCCAAAGGCTAACCGTCCTGCAAATAGAAACCTGTGTCATGAAAACATTTCAGATCACTGCAAAAAATCTAAATCTAGATAAGTCATTTTTTCTTAAAATAAGTGCATTTGTTCTTGAATTGAGGAGGTAAAAGATACATTTTGCCAATGGAACAAGACAATTTACACTTAAAATAAGAAAACACAATTGAATTCTCTTATTTGAAGTGCAACTTATCTAATTATCTTATTTTAAGAGTAAAAATCCTCATTCCATTGGCAAATTATCTAATTTACCTACTCAAATTAAGGGCGAATACACTTAATTTAAGAAATTTGTACTTATTTCTAGCTCAGTTTTGCAGTGATGCTGATATTTAACCAGAAATTTGGGTGGTGAGACGCCTGTTGGGAATTTTTTTAATTTTTTAAAAGGTAGGGATGTAATAAAATATTCAATTCAGGATTAATTGTTGCTTAGGGCCCTGTCACACCTTGCCGATTTATCCAGCTTATGCCAGAATCTCCTTAAACGCTGTCATACACTGAATTTTTTTTTTTTTTTTTCAGTTTACGGCGTATGCATAGAGTATTCACTGCAAAAACCATCTAAAAATGAGAAAAAATGCCTTAAATTAAGTTTATATACCATTAATTTGAGTAAGTTAATAGGATAATTTGCCAATGGAATGAGTATTTTTAGTCTTAAAATAAGATAATTGGATAATATGCACTTGAAATAAGACAATGCAATTGTATGTAAATTGTCTTGTTCCATTGGCAAAGTGTCTCAATTACCTCCTCAATTCAAGAAAAAATGACTTATGTAGATTTCAATTTTTTGCAGTGTTTATAACGAGTCCAGAACTTATGTTCAACGACTGCCTGACTTATGCATAATGCTGCGTAATGCCTATGAAATGATGCAAAAGGTAACAAAGTATTTATACTTACTTTTATCCTGGATTGAATAGTGATTTATTAAAGTCAATCATATAATCAGGACACCATCTTGAGATCTTTTTGTAGAGCTAAACTCTCCTGGCACATGAAGTCAACCATCCGCTCCATATGGAATGCCTGAAATACAGCAACATGTAACGTACCATGTATGATATATACGTGGGACAAGTGTTAGAATAATTGAAAGATGCCAAATAAATCTCTGCTTTCGATGGCGTGAAACTGCCGGGCCTCATTCATCATTTTCTAGTTGCTGCTACTGTTTCTATTTTTTCAATCCTAATGCAAAAATGATCCAGAAGTGAGTAAAGATTTCCCTAAATTAAGCATATTTACCCTTAATTTGACCATTTGAGTATTTTTACTCTTAAAATAATAAGATAATCAGATGAAATACCCTTTAAATAAGACGATGCAACAGATTTTTCTTATTTTAAATGTAAATCGTCTTGTTCCATTGGCAAAGTTTCTCACTTAACTCCTCAATTCAAGACAAAATACACTTATTTTGAGAACACAGCAAGCTAGAAATAAGTATCCATCCATCCATTATCTGACACGCTTGTCCCGAGTGGGGTTGCGATAGGTCGCCTATCTTCAACAGAGGCAAGGGACACCCTGGACAGGTCGCCAGTCCATCGCAGGGCAACAGAGAGACAAACAGGACAAACAACTATTCACGTACACACTCACACCTAAGGACAATCTAGAGAAGCCAATCAACCTAACAGTCATGTTTTTGGACTGTGGGAGGAAGCTGGAGTACCCAGAGAGAACCCACGCATGCTCAGGGAGAACATGGAAACTCCATGCAGAAAGACCCCAGGCCGGGAATTGAACCCAGAACCTTCTTGCTGCAAGGCAAAAGTGCTGCACACTGCACCACTGAGCAGCCCGATGGACGCTGTTACTTAGAAATAAGTAACATTTTCTTAAATTAAGCATATTTACAATTAATCTAAGTAGGTAAATTATATAGTTTGATATTTGAATTTTTATTTCTACTCTTAAAATAAGATAATTAGACAATATGCACTTGAAATAAGAAAATGCAATTGTTTTTTTCTTATTTTAAATGTAAATTGTCGTGTTCCACTGGCACTTTTTTTGTCAATTCCAGGAAAAATTCACTTATTTTAAGAAAAAAAAAAAAAAGACTTATTTAGATTTTATTTTTTTGCAGTGAGCAGACCTGAAAGTCACATCAGTCCTCCACTTTCACTTCCACACTGCAAAAAATATAAATCTCAATAAGTTATTTTTTCTTAAAATAAGTGTGTTTTTCCTTGATTTGAGGAGATAAGTAAGACACTTTGCCAATGGAACAAGACAATTTCCTTTTAAAATAAGAAAAAAATATTTTATCGTCTTATTTCAAGTAAATATTATCTAACTATCTTATTTTAAGAGTGAAAATACTCATTCCATTGGCAAATCATCTTATTTACCTGCTCAAATTAAGGCTAAATATACTTAATTTAAGCCATTTTTTACTTATTTCTGGATTGTTTTTGCAGTGCACATAAACAAAACATGCTTCTTTAACATGCACTGCAAAAATGATCTAGAAATAAGTAAAAACTTCTTAAATTAAGTGTATTTCCCCTTAATTTCAGTAGGTAAATGAAATAGTTTGCCAATGGAATTAGTATTTTTACTCTTAAAATAAGATAATTAGATAACATGCACTTGAAATAGGACAATGCGATTGTGTTTTCTTATTTGAAGTGTAAATTGTCTTGTTCCATTGGCAAAATGTCTCTTTTATCTCCTCAATTCAAGAACAAATGCACTTATTTTAAGAAAAAATTACTTTTCTAGATTTCGATTTTTTCCAGTGTGGAGGCTCTGTGCTTTCCAGCTTGTTTACTCATAACCAGTCCTATCTATGCAGAATCGACATTCTGCGTATATGTTTCCAGGAAGCATGTTTACATGTTTAGATTGGAGAAAAATGTCAGACTTTAAATCTCCAG